CCCCCCCCCCACCACCAAAAAAAAAAATATTTCTGATGAGTAGTCAATCCCACCCACATGTCTGGAAAGATTGAAGGATGCAAACAGGCATCACACATGCAAAAAAAAAGTTCACGCTCTCGCCTGCCACTTGTATTCACAAATCCCTTCCCCAGGATAAAATCCATGTATATTAGTAGGGGGTCCCAGACATAAAAGACAGACAAATAGTTAACAAGATTTACAGTTAAGAAAATTATGAGTTGAATTCTCAAGATGATCCTCACTTGCAACAGAATTTGAAAACTAAGAATATTTCATTAAGCTTATTAGGGAGAAAAAGGAAGTATGAAGCCTCAATCCAGATAATATGTTGATCAAACTAATAGATTCTCTCACCATTGACAAACAAAAAAGTTGGCAAAACTTGTACTTCACTTCTGGTCCAAATACCCTTTTAAGTTTTAACAGTTTTAGAACATCAAGATTTTCTTAATTCTCACAAGAAAAGAAATGCATCAGTTGGACTTTTAAAACAGTGTTAAGTGCTATTGTATCTATATGGAAGTATAATGGGACAAACATATTGTTACACATTCTACCATGGGCATGGGTGTCCGACATGGTAAGTGTCTTTACATCCGAACATAGGGGACACGAAATATGCGTGGCAGTTAAAGAAAGAAAACCACAATACTTTTAATCCTATTCAACCTTTGAAAAATGAAGAATGTTTTCGAGGACAAAAAAAGTTGTAAAACTTTAGGGTATGTAAGTGCCCTCTCCATCAACCTATCTCCACGGCACAATCCATAACCGAACCACTACCTATTGGTCACCACAGCCCATCACAATTGCTTTCCATGATCACTTTCTCCACTAGTCATTCTACCGCCCCAACATTCTCTCCACACTAGCGACGATCCCAACATAAGTGACTAAGAAATTGAAAAAAAAATTTGTAGGAAGAAAGATTTTTATGGTAGCAATGAATGAAGGAAAAACTAGTCACCACAAAACAAGTATGATAAGGGAAGGGAAAAAAATGAATAACATAGAAATTGCATGAGACCGTAGTCATCCACATAATCACCACCAGCAACTTCCATTGTTTGACTGTCATCATAACACTTCCCCTTGCTCTCAAAAGTATCAGTATCTACCATCCAATTCTCATATGGAGTACACTATTTGCTAGCATCTTATTAATCAAGGCCTTAAAATAGTTCACTAAGAGATTACAAGAAAGTGTAACAGAGGAAAAGATGTCACAACTACAAAAAATTCCTTCAAGTTACAATATAAAAAGAAAAAAAGAAAAAGACAGGGTGTCTGTCCATTATAAGTATCATGTGTACACAAAATAAGAGTGTACCTGCCAAATTAAACCAATTGAATCATTTGTAGGATTCATGTTTCTCAAGCGTGCAAAAATAACTTGAAAGCTACTCTCTCATATAGGAGTTTCATTTTTGTATGTTCCATTTTAATTTTTTATTAGGATAAGTAGTTTTGATCCTATTCATTTTGTATGAGTTTATAAGGTGGGATAAGATTCATGAGTTGAGTATGTGAATGCAGGCATCCGGGGCTGGTTTTGTTTAACTACAAATTTATATATCAGATTTGAAAACTTTTAACACCGAAATTCACTGTAAAATTTCTAATTACGTCAAATGGTGCACATCATTGAGTTCCATCACCCAAACAGACTCCTACCATAAGCAATCCTAATTGTATCCGAGTGCCTTAAAGTAAACATAACTGACAGATGTGCTGACAAGATTGCAAAGCCAGCAAGCATATATTTATTTATGTATACTAATATAAAATGCCAGCTAATCTCAAAACTTTTGATTTGCTTTTTTGACCTTCAACAATTCTATAAAGCCACCTAAATCCTAAACAATAAATTATTCATGTCCACAAGTCTTTTTAAAATGTTTGGCAACTGACTAGTTTTGAATGCAGCAGGAGTATTAAATTCATGCAACCCAAAGAAACCTTTCTCCTCCTTCATAAATCCATAATTTATATATATGGGTAAAAGCCATCTAACCAAGAAACTTCTGTACCCGTAAATATCTCTCCGCCTCATCCTCTTCCAGTCATTTTTTATGCTCTGTCGTTGCCATTCCTGATGCTGTAAAATTATATTCACTTTCTTTATATCTGATCTCTTGTACATTTTACAATGCCAAACAAAATTCTGAAAGCCGCTGCAAAGCACTTTAAGCAGCAACTAGGTATCTAAAACTTTTTCAATTAAATTTTACTTTTTGCTTTTTCAACATGTGATGTGACACTGTGGTTTTCATAAGATTGTGTGTTTTATTGCGGCTGGTCTACAGGTCCTTTGTAGGAATAGTGTCCCACATGGAGATCTAAAGCCACAGGTATGCCATAATCTTTGATGTCTCATACTTCACTTTCTCACTTGGATTGGTGAATGCTTTAGTTGGCTTTCTTGACAATTCTTGTTGAGACTCCGGTTTCCCCAGAGAGTCTTGTTTGTATCTTTGATTGTGCCACTGTTGCCGCCACCATGTTCACTAATGGTTGTTTCATTGCTTCAATTATACTCAACTCTCTTGCGAGGTGAGTTTCATTTTCTCTTTTCTATTGACTCTACCACTTTAAATTTTTATGTTCCTGGATATGTGAATTATATGTGCTATTTTATTCCTTTTGGTTGTGTATTATATAGTGATTCTATTTATAGCATAGTTGTCAAATTGCAATTCATATAGTGAATTGGAATCCTAAATTTGAGAATTGTAAATCGTATCGAATCGTGAATCATAAGATTCGACACAAAATTTGAACAAAAATAAAAAATAATACTACATATTTAAAATAGACAAAGTATTGAATATTGAATATTATTGCATTTTAAAAATAATCAATTGACATAATCATGTCGTCTAAATGGAAAGACGCTAGTCTTTTACTTCATTTTCATCTTTTGTTTAACCATTTTCAAATTCAATAACTTGAAAAAAAAAAATTCATTAAATAACCATGGTTATTCAAGAACTAAAATAGTGACACCCATTATAGATTAAGTTACAAACATGAATTGAAAAAGAACAAATAAGAAAATTGATTGGGAGAAAACATACAAACCAACATTTTGAAATAAAAAATTAGTACTAACAAACTACCCATGAAAGAATTGAGAGAAAAAATCAACCGATGATGCGAGAGCGTTAATCGTGATATTTAGTTTTAGACAACGCAAGACAAGCTTTAGACAACGTCAGAGAGAAAACAAGCAAAGAGATTGAGTTTTTTATTAAGGCGTGGGTCATTTGCAAACAAAAAGATGTCGATTTACTATTTAGCGAATAAAACAACGTTATTTTGCCAAAAATTTGGGTTTTAAAAAAAAGTGATTGAATCGTAGGATTCGTACGATATGAATCGAATTGTACGAATCGTACGATTCATGTGCAATTCAACCCTAAAATGATTTTCATATAAGATATGAATCGTTTTGCTCCAGTATCGAACTGAATCGTATGAATTGAATCGCGAATCGTATGATTTTGATAACTATGATTTATAGTATTATATTATGCTACTTGTTAACATGGAATTTGTTATTACAATAAAATAATTATTGACATGTTTGGCCAAGAGAGAAGAAGGTATCCTTCTCCCACTACATATTGTAAGCTTGAATGAGGATTGTGTACTCTTCTTATTATATTACTTTTCCCAAAATATTTGCTCATAACTTAAGGCATTAAACTATTATGTAAACCATTATTAACTAGAGCCAATCTTTGGCCTCATAGTTGTGACTATTGGGTGGAATGTGCTGTCAGCAGTTAGCTTGGTTGGTTGATACCCCATTGGTGGTAATGCTGCCAGCAATACGTGATGTATAAGACACCTCTAAAAGAGTAAAATTATCATCTGTATAGGCTCATGGCTTGTGCGGAAGAAAGACATGGGTAGGCTTAAGGTCAATTAATCAAACATGCTAATTTTTTTCATGAAAAATTTGTTCATGCTTTTTGTTGCTTTGCTGGATTAGAAAGCAAACAAAAAAAAAAATTGCTTCAATTTCTTTGCCACCATTTATTCATCTCTCATCAATATCATGGTGGCCCTGTAAGTGGTATTGGCTTGTGGTTGTAACTTTAAGTGAATACTTGTGCATAAGATGTGAGGTGCGAGTAAATTCCATCATGGGATACTGTTCAAGTAATTCAAATTTTTTTTAAAAGTTTTTTTCTTCATTAATTGTAAATACTATAGACTGACTTCGAAGGTTTTTATCCTCCTTACTTGTAAATACTATAGACTGCCTACTGAAATAAGTTCTTATCTTCTTTCTCACTAGGCTCTTCTCTCACCCTTCATGTTTTGGGTCAAAAGTCCCATTCCTTTTTTCTCTTGCTTCGATGTGTTTTCTTTGTTGGAGACTTGTGGCTGATTATGCTGCTTTTGTGCTTTTCTGTTTCTACTGCATCAACTTGCTTTTTATGCTTCTTGGTGTTATTCTTGCCCTTGGGTTTATAGTACTACCTTTCTATGTTTTGATTTGTCTTTCATATAAAGTATTTCATTTTGTTTTGTAGATTAACATGCTTCTATGGGACTGTGGATATACCTTTCTCCATGTCTTTTTAATCCCATTAGCATGTCTACTCTTGCAAATCTTAGAATTGTCTAATTTGCATTGGTGTTCAATTCATGTTGGACATGTTCAACTCATATTACCATTTTAACAATTGCAAGAATGAATATGTATGGTTTGTGACAAGAAGGTATATAAGTGTTAAAGTGGGGACAGGGGCAGGATTTCATGGGTTTTAGTTTGGCCTTATTTTTTAGCTTCTTTAGAATGTTGCAGTCCCTTTTTGAATTTGTCTTATGGTTGGATTGATCTCTTTTCCTTAGCTAATGAGTTACTTGTGCATTTGTGATGTGAGATAAGCTCAATACACGTAATAGTTGGTAGTTCATTTGTTTACTCTCTTTCTTGCAATCAACTTCATCTTCATAGCAATTCTTCTTCTGGGGTGATGGGTTGTCATTCCGGTAAGGGGTGTGAGATTGTTCTTTCAATTTGTCCATTTCTTGAGAAAGAGGGTGCATCTGTAATGGCTGTTGGTGCGCAGGGAACATTTCTGTCATCTGTTTATGAGGAGATGAATGACATAGGTTTGGGTAAACTTCCCAGTTCAAGTCTGGGTGGGAAACATGCTACGGTCTGTGATTCATTATTGTGCATTGAAGTTGAAAATGCTATAGAGAATTCAGTTCTTAGGGATTCTAGAGCTCAATCTGCTAGTGATATTAATTGCCTATACCAAGAGACAGATTGTTTTAGTCCCGAGGTTTGAAAGGATGTGGATGAATGTAAGGGGGAGGATAGGTTTTTTCTTTTTGATGATGAAAAGTCAACTATACTGAAGACATTTTTAGAGAGGATGGATTTATCTTTAGTGCACAGGAGGAAGAGAGAAAAGAAAAAGAGAGATGGAAAATAAGTACGAAAAAATAGGGGAATAAAGGAACTTAGAACTTTGCATCCAGGGGTTAATTATAATGGTGCTATTGTTCGTAAGAATGATGGGGGGGGGGGGGGGGG